GGGATCGGTGGGTCTCCTGTCAAAGCTCCATCATAGCTGTTACACCACCCGTCAGATCTGTCGGCCATATATATCGCACTTCTCTGCACCGTTGCGTCAGCCCATTGTTGTCACCGCCTTGCCCGCCGTTCAGCTCACCTTGCTCGCCGGTCCATTCCACCGTCCATTCCAAGCTCACCGGCCCATTCCGCCGTCCATTCCAAGCTCGCTAGTCCATTTCGCCATCTCCATAGCCGAGCACACCGCCGTCCGTGTTTCGAGCACACAATCGTCCACAGTTCACCGTCGAGCCCCCTTGAGCTCGCTGCCATTTCTACAGTTCATGGCCGAGTCAACCGAGCTCTCATCACAGCCGAGTCCTCTGCGCACAAGCCGCCATCATCCGAGATCGAGGCATCCCGCCAACCTCGGATTTCTTTAGTCTCTTCTCTCTCTCTAGCTTTCTGTTTTGGGTTGCGTTGGGTGAAAAGCATCTTTTGGTAGAAAAAAAATGTAAGAAGTGTATAAGTTAAAACAACGCAGTGTGTTATAAGGGTAAACTGGTTTTTCAAAATTTTCGGTGCCGGAAGCTAATGTCATGTGGGTAAATTGCAAAAAAATCATAGTTTAGGGGGGTAAATTGCAACAAAATCATAGTTCAGGGGGTTTTTTGTAGTTCAGGGGGTTTTTTGCAAATGGCCAATAGTTCAAGGGGGTAAATTGTAACAAAATCATAGTTCAGGGGGGTTTCTTGCAAATGACCAATAGTTCAAGGGGGTTTAATGCACTTTACCCTAAAAAAAATGGTAAAGTGCAATAAACCCCTGAACTATAAAGGGATTTCACAAAAACCCTTTATATTAACAACTGCCCCCTCAACTATTAAAAAGATGCACTTTAAGGATAGGCGTCTAACAACCGTTAACGGAAAAATGAATTGTAACTGATGAGCGTTTGTCCATTTACTTAAAAGCTTAAGCTGTTGGGTAATATTATATACCCGCCCATTTATACCCAATCACTTTCCCATCCGAATCCGATGGGGACAAATGACCCTTTATAACATTTTTCCCGATCCAAACTCGCAACACCCTTGTTGCGATCAGGCCACCCTGCCTACTTGGGGTGGCTCCCCGAACGACTTCCGGGCCAAACACCTGGCGTGACACTGGATTAAAGATTAGGTCTGACTCTTATACCAACTATAAGAGGTGGGTACTTACCTATTTATCCAAAAACTCAAGTTGTTAGATATTACTGTATACTCACCCATTTATACCTCAATCACTTTTCCATCCGAATCCGTAACAAGTAGCCATAAACAACCAAATGCACAACAAGAAAAGCATGAAAAAAAAAAAGAAAAAAAAAAAAAAGAGAGATGACATTGCAGTAACAGGGCATATTTACACAGAAAGCTAGCAATTAAAAAGATCCCAAGACATCACAGTGTTGTCTCTCCCTTCGATACAATCTCTAGCTATGAACCGCAATAGTCGGCAACCCAATCACAAAACCCCAAACTTTAGCCGCAAGATCTAATTAAAAAAGTTGCCAACCCAATTACAAAAGCTAAGAATATGTTGTCGATCATCAAGCAATCCCAATCGCAAAATCTCAAAAATATGTTGTCAGTAAACCAATCACAAAACCCCAAGAGCGATCACCAAGCAAACCCAATCGTGACCGTAAAATTCTCAATCCATCATCGCCAAACCCATATAACGAAACCACTGCCGCTGGCCCGCTACAACAACCACGTCGGTTGGTCTCACCGTCGAAACACCATCACCAATTATCAGGCTTTATCGTCGTTAGTTGAGACTTTCAACCTTGTCTCCGCCGTGTTGATTCTTACTATCACCATCGAAATCTATCGCCGTCGTATTCCTTGGCTGATCTTCGCTATCATCGAATCTGCTAGTAGGATTTACTTGAGAACGAGAGAAGGAGAGTGGTAGAGAGAATGAGTTTCTTTGAAGAATCTGACTAGATTTGGGAGTTAGAGTGGGTTTTAAATCGGGTCTAAAGACAACCCGATTTAAATGGGTAATAAGGTTATTCTTGCCATTTAAAATTTATGCTTAGCTCATGCGATGTCACACACCACTTTAACATTGATAATTCACTGGAACTTGAATGGAATTGGGATATTTGCAAAAAAATGGATAGTTTAGGGGGTTAACTGTAAAAATAAAAGTTCAGGGGATTTTTTGGAAAAGAGAGCATAGTTTAGAAATATTTTTATCATTTCTTTTTAAAGAAAAAGGTATGTGGAGTGCAATCTTAAAAAATAGGATTGCGAATATTACCTTCCTTAAAAATTAAATTATACTATTTTTTCTATTTATAATTATATATATATATATATATATATATATATATATATATTATCGAATTAAAAGTATGCTTGATTTTGAAATTTTTACCGGACATTTGCCTTATAATCTGTTGTAACGGGTGGACGCTTGCCTATTTACTAAAAAATTCAAGTTGTTAGGTAGTGCTGCATACCCATTACTTTATATCCAATCACTTTTCCATTCGGATTCGATGTGAGACAAATGAACCTTGTTACATTCTCCCTCACTCAAACTCGCAACGCCCTCGTTCCGTTCGGGTCACCCTGCCTACCCGAGGTAGCTCACTCGGACGCCTTCCGAGTGGAGCGCTTGGCGTGACACCGAATCAACAATTGGATCTGGCTCTGATACCAACTATAATTAGTGAACGGTTGTCTATTTACACAAAAGCTCAAGTTATTGGATAATGTTACATATTTACTTATTTATATTCAATTTTTTTTTTTTTTTGTCCGAATCTAAGGTGGAACAAATGGTCATTACACCTGTACACTTTAATAATGTAGTGAGGGAATAAAAAAGGCAGGGATACACTCGAAATATTTATGCATACCAAAGACGCCTCCTTTATGTTCCGTCCAACTCAATTTAGCATTATGTATACCATTCAAAAGAATGATGAACATGGTGCTTGGGAAAAGTGTTTTTTTAATTAACCAAAAAACATGAAGTGAATGCTTGAAAAACATTAAACTAAGAATTGTTTTATGATGGGAAGACACTTTTGTCTCCCACTAAGTTAATTATCATAGTGGTTTTGGGCTGTTATAAAGTAGATTTCTACTATTATTGTTGAAAAGGCAGAATTATAAAATCAAAAAATTTCAATTTCAATTCTTAAATATATATATTTTTTTGTCCCAAAATATTTATCCATCTTTCTATTTTGAATGTCTCAAAATACATGTTTCATTCAAAAAATAAATTCATTATTTTTTATAATATTCTTAAATTATCCTTTTACTTAAATAAGTACACTAATGGAGAGCTATTTTTGTCTTTTAATAACAATGTATTTGAAAATTCACTCTTATCAATACAATAAAAAAATTATTAAAATCTCACTGTAATAAAAAGTTAAATTCCCTAAGCAGGTCATGTATTTTGGGACAGAGCAAGTAATATTTTTGGTTATAATTATCCCTTGGCGTGTGAACTGATACTATCATGTTGTGTTTGAAAGTATGAAATTGATGTTTTAAGTTAAGGATTAAAGGACATTTAACATAAAATTTGAATTAAATTTTTTCTAATTTTAAATCAAAATAGCTGATTTGATATTTCTAAGTACCAATAAAATTTGAATTATTAGCAGTTGGCGGTGAAGATAAATACAAAACCCCATGGACAAGTGATTGCCACTTTAAAATGTAAGAAATACTTCATAAATTTTTGTTTTTTTAAAGATACATTGATTGAGGAAGTGGTTTGCCTTGAGATTACCATTATCATATTTTTCATCTATAATGCAGAGCCCATAACATATGTACTATTCGAAAGCGATACCTTAAAGATTTACCTTCCAAATCTCTGTTAACGTCGTCATGCCCCTTAAAAGCAATCAAAATTAGTGTTGAACATTACAAATTGACTTTACTTTATGAAGGATAATGTGAGCATTATTTTAAGAATAACATCTATTTTACTATAGTCTTTTTCTCTTAATAAAGTTTTAGTTTTAAGTTAATCATGTTCCTATAATTAAATCATATATGAAAATTTGTAAAATAATTCAAATTTATTGTGTCATCATACTAAAATGATTGAATAAACCAATCAAGTATACTTCAAAGAGTTAGCCAATGACAAAAAATCATATCCTTTAAGCACTTAATCAACATTCACTATTTAAGTTTGTTGATAGTAATTTTTTTTATTTTTTATTTTATGTGAATAAGATTATTATTACTATTTTTTTTAATAAAACTAATGATCCAAGACCATTTAATAATTTTTAAACATAAAAATTAAAGTTGAAATGGCCTTAAACATGGGATGGATATTTATCTTTTTCTTAATTGTTCCAAGTCTTGTCAACATTGATTTCATGTTTGAATACCATGTTTTACATGTATTTAAATCAGTTTTTAATATGATATTTCGTAATATAATAATTAAGTAAAGTCAATCTTGTCAACGTTGATTTAATGCTTGAACACCGTGTCACCATGTTTAACATGTATTTAAATCAGTTTTTAATATGATACTTCGTAATATAATAATTAAGTAGAGTCAATCTTCAACAGTAAGGACCCAAGTAAGTTACATCATTTTAACGAGCCAGTGATGTGTGTAATATTATTAAAAAATGCTCTCAATTAATATAACATCCCTTTGATAAGTGCCCTATAAATGAAAGTAATATTAAAATTCAAGCATTTATATCATAGTAGTTAATGGAAGAAAATTCGTATACCTGTTATATAATGTAATCAACGAAAAGATTATATTAATCTATAAAATCATAGTAAACCGCACTCACTATTTAATGTTGTCAAAAATCTATAAAGGGTCCACAATACCAAACATTCCGGTGAGTTGGGTCCGACCACCATTGCCAGACCCACCAATCAAAAGGGACCCATATTTGTGATCCTTCCCATCATACCATCTATTTTCTCTGATAATCCAAATCAAAATCATCATTTTAATCATATCACCTACTGACAGGTGCATTCTCCACTCCTTTTTTTAATTTGTAGTGAGAGAATCTAGAGAGAGAAAGTAACTCCCGGGTTTCACAGAATCACTCCCTCTCTCTAGGATGAAGACCACCACAAATCTCATAGTCGTCCACCCTTCTACACATAAGCAAGTTGTTTCTCACCGTAAATGGCTTATCATCATCCTCTCATTCTTCACATTAGCCTTTGCTCTCACTCTCATCTGCACCACCAGAGACCTCATTCCCACCACCACCGCCGCCGCCTCCGCCGCCGCGACAGCCTCTCCATTACCCAAACCCGTATTCGATGCCCTCCTCCACTACGCCGCCAAACCCAATTCCCCCACCTCCACCAAAATGTCCGCGGCCGAGCTCAGCTCCGTCGCCGCCGTCCTCCGGGGCTGTCCCACCCCCTGCAATTTCCTCATTTTCGGTCTGACCCACGAGACCCTCCTCTGGAATTCCCTCAACCACAACGGCCGAACAGTCTTCGTGGACGAAAACTCCTACTCCGTCAGCAAAATCGAAGAGAGACACCCGGAAATCGAAGCCTACGATGTCCAATTCACCACCAAAGTGAGCGATTTACACGACCTTCTTCACCACGCGAGAGAGCAAATTCGAAATGAGTGCCGACCTGTACAGAACCTTCTCTTCTCGGACTGCAAATTGGGGATTAACGACCTTCCCAATTTTGTGTACGAAGTGGGTTGGGATGTGATCTTGGTGGACGGGCCAAATGGGAATTTTCCGGCGGCGCCGGGGAGGATGGCGGCGATATTCACGGCCGGGGTGCTGGCGAGAGGCGGCGGAGGGAAGACCCATGTGTTTGTGCACGATGTGAATAGGGAGGTGGAGAGAGTTTGTAGTGACGAGTTCTTGTGTAGAGAGAATTTGGTTGAGTCTGTGGATTTGTTGGGACATTTTGTGGTAGAAAGATTGGATGGTAAGGGATTTCAGTTTTGTCCAAAGTCTTCATCTTCGTCGCCTCCATGGAAAGATGATTGAGATGAACACTCTGATTATTTGTTGTATTACTACTTTTTCTTTTTTTCAATTGTATAGTGTGTAATTTCAAGAGGTTAATGGTTAAGGTTCAAGTCTCAAATCTCAAGGAGGAGCAATGATGTCATTCCAAGTTTTGGGTATTCAAATTTGAGCCGTGTTTGATTCGTGAGAAAAGGTGGGAAAAGATTAATGCTGCCTTGTCCCAAAATTTTGTCCATCCTTCAATTATTATTATTATTATGTTTTTCCCTCTTTCTATTGTTTCATATTATTTAGACCATCTCCAATGCAAAATGCTATTTTTGCACGTCAAATTTATATTTTAAGAGGAGTTACATTGTCAAAATATTATATTTTAGCAATTTTGCTCTATTAATGCATTTAATCCAAAATATTATTTTTTGACACAACTACCATTCCTAACTACTAATTTTCAACAACTAATTTTTCTTTTATTTATTTATTTTTATTATTATTATTTTTGTGTGTGTTTGTATTTTATTTAGCTTATTTGCTTTATTAAAAATAAATAAAAAATAATAATTATCAAATCCAACTTAGTCTTGAAATTTAGGCAATTTTGGATTAACAGACATATGCATACACACATATATACCAACACTAACATATATATATACTATGTACATAAGTACAACAACAAACTACAAAATTTACAAGAATTAGAAGTTCAAAACCCATATATTTCAGTTTGGCAGAAGTAATAGTAATAGCTATAGTTTGTGCATATTTGGCACAAGATTTGGCAAAGTTATATTTTGACCGTCCATTTAAAAGCCCATTGGAGAGCCTATGTTAAATCTACCTATTATATTTTGGACACATTAATACGACATGAGATAAGAGGGTTTGAATTTGGACTTATCGTATTCGATACAAATTAACCTGTTAATTAAACGTATCGTGTTCGTGTTTGAACTTACTAACACGATTATGACACAATTAACCGATTGACTAAACGTGTCGTATTCATGTAAAAAATGATCTATTTAAGTAAACGTGTAGAATAAATATATTGTGTTTGTGTAAAAAATTACTTAAACTTGTTTTTTCTTGTCATTTCGTATCGTGTCAAGTTTTGACCCATTTGTTAAATTGGTTGTGCATGTCGTGTCGTGTTACACGTATAATAATTGTGCAGTATTTGTGTCAAGAGATCTTAACACGATTAATAATCGTGTTGTATTCGTATCGACTCTAATCGTGTTGGTGTCGTAATCGTGTTGTCACATACACGACCCATCAACCAGACAATGAATTGTCACCCTTTGGTGCTCCACAAGTATTCCAACTCTTCATTTTATTATATAAAATGACTAAACTACCCTACTTTTATTATTGGGTAAATTCCATCGCTATTGAGTTCTCATCTTTGAGTATATTTTCACAGATGAAAACATAAATTATACTTACACGTCAAACAATCCGGCCAAAGCAAACCAAAGATGATCCATTGCGTTATAACTTTAATAATAAGATTGGTTATTGCAACTGGTTAAAAATTTTAATTAATAATTCATTAATGCAATCAACTATGAAATAAAAAGAAAAATCAGTAAGAAGGGAAAAAGAGAACCAAATTAAGTTGAGGAACAACTTAAACATTCACAACTCAACCCCAAAGAAAGGGAGTGGCAAAAAGCTGTTACAGCGGACTAAAAATAATGATAATAAGTAAAAAGTTGCTGAATATAACTTGGAACAACTCTTTTATAAGACACTAAGAATTTAATCTAACGGTTACTATTCTATTTAACAGAATAAAATATGCTAAAATTGACAAAACAACTCACTTAATAGGTACATGGCTCATTTAATAGAAGCAAAATGACTTAAACCCAATAAATACTGATGCCCCTATTAATGCAATATCAGATTAGTCTTCTTAGGATCTTTAACAGTTTGAAGAAAGTTCTCTTTCCTTTGTACTACATCAGTTCAATAAAGATTTGAAACATTACACCCAATAATAACATCCATCGTGTTAGCAAAGAGATTATAATGGGTAAAGAGCAAAAAACATCCCATAGTATGTTTATAGTGTATATTGTATCTCTCATGGTTAAAAAACACCACTAAACTATGATATTTGTGCAAATAAAGATTTGAAACATTACACCCAATAATAACATCCATCGTGTTAGCAAAGAGATTATAATGGGTAAAGAGCAAAAAACATCCCATAGTATGTTTATAGTGTATATTGTATCTCTCATGGTTAAAAAACACCACTAAACTATGATATTTGTGCAAATAAGTTCTCTTTACACATTGAAGATAAAATTGGACTAAAATGCCCTTATTGACACATTTTATAAAATATATAAAAAAATAAAATTTTGTGAAATGACTAAAAGAGATACCAAGAAAACTCACCAGAATTAAAAAAATATAAAAATAAAAATATAAGAGCATCTTCTTCAACTCCTTGAGACATCTTATAAATCTCCATACATATCAGAGCATAGCAGACCGTGATACAGTGAGAAGAAAAAAATAAAAAATTCCCAAAACCCGATTACAAATCAAGACCATCCTACGCACTGTCGACAGTGCACTGCCGATTCAGTCCGGCCTTCATTCAACCTTGCCACCACCGATTAATCTTTGGTCGCCACTGAACTCACTACCATCGTTGGAGTCGCAACTATTATAATTATTGCTCGCTGCCACCGTCTCGGTAAGCTCAGTGCTTTATCGCAGTCGATAGTCCATGCTCGCCGGTAAGAACTAAGTCCTCCATGCTCGCCGATGAGAACAGTCCCGTGGTCGCCGGTAAATTCAGTCTCGCTACTCCTTGCATTCCGCCGTCTTGTCTTGACTCAGTTCATTGTTTCCGGTTTATGCTCGGCTGTTCAACCTGCTTTTATTCGAAACCCAACTCTGAGACTCTCTGATTCATCCGACCAGACCCGAACCCACAGCAAGAACGGCGGTGAACAACAGTGGGTCTGGTTCTTACTAGAACGACGGTGATTTGAACGGCGATGAAGCAGCGGTGAAGACGGGCTCGTAATAGGATTTCGTCGTAGCATATGCTTGAAAGATGAAGTCCACGAACCAAGACTTTTAGAAATCTGTGAAGCAAGGTGGAGGAGAAAAAGGGTGTTTGGTTACAGATCTTTCCTTATCCCAAATCAGCTTTAGACTGAACCAGTTCAGGGTCAACCTGGTTTTGGGGGTGGAGGGTAAGGTTTGGTATGGGCATTTTTGGAAGAATAAAAGGGTAAAATGGGTATTACAATACTAATTTTTGATTGAGGGTTGTTTTCGCACAATTTCAAAAGATCAGGATGTTTATTGCACACCTTTTCAAATATGAGGTAAAAGTACTACAAAAAATATACTTTAGGGGTGTTTTCTGCACTTCCCCCAGATTATAATCAACCATTCAATTTAAATATAATTTGTGAATTTGTAAATTTACATGAATTTCGAATAATAGAGAGAATTATTTCTTGATTTGTGTTTGACTTTTTATTTTATTTTATGCATATTAATTTCTTAATAGAGTTGTTAGATAAAGGAGGAGAAAAGTTCATTAATAGAGTAATAAGATAAAAGTAGATAAGGAAGCACAATATAAGAAGAGAAGGGCAGTCTAGTCATTTTATTTATTAAAACTAGGACTTGGAGTGCTAGAGAAAGTTTATGGAGTGCCAATATTACCCCCTCATGTTTAATAAAAAGGATAAAAATTATTAATGTTCCCTCATGTTTAATAAAAATGCATAAATATTTTTGTCAAATATTTTTGTAAAATGATGTTTACAAGAAAAATATATATCTTGAATTATATACCAATCTCCATTGGTGAGTCCTAGGATTAGATCATCGTGAAGGAGGATAAACTAAAGTATATTGAGGCTTGAAAATAATATCATCTATGCTAATATTTTTAAATGTCACTAGCTAAATGACAAATTCTACAACTATTTGTATAAGTTACTAAAGTTATAGTTTGAACTTGAGAGATTTTGTTTAGTTAAAAATTATTTTTTTTTTTAGGTAATAATGATATATTTTTTTCAAAGTGGAATCAAAGTACTCTTTTATTTATTTATTAGATTTTTAAAAAATTGAAACAATTGATGAAGGAAATTATTTATTTATGTCTTCCTTTTTAATTGCAACTTATCATTTCTTCTTCTATATATAGATTTTTTTTCATATCCATTTTTTTTTACTACTCGATATTAATAATATTAGTTGATGGAGGGAATATAGTTTTTGAAATTCGATTATACAATTTGAGCTCAGTTGAAGTTTCTTAAACATATTTGGAGGGGGGCTGGTGTTAACCGAGTATACGGAACCCTAAAAGTAAGATACTGTATATATGTATATATAAAAAATACCAAGTAAAAAATATATAATCAGAGCAGGATGAATTACTTAACATTCTCATCCTCTCCTCCAAAAGCTAAACATGTAATATTGGACTCGATTTAGACACAAAGACTTGAATTAAATGCACTATAACTAAAAAAAAATGTAATCATACCATGAAATGCATGAGATATGAAGACAAAATACTAAAATGATAGTCTAGTTGAAGGTCCACAAATTTTTTTGTTCGAGTCCCCATCATATATTATACGGATCAAATATGAATTCAACGAGAATTTGAATATAAATTCCAACATTGAAATATAAACTCAAAATTACATCCAACTACTCAAACTCATGTAAAATATTACTTCTATAAAATACAATTTTAAGCAAAACTTTTTTAAAAGAATTGTTTCCATCTCCCAGCATTTAAACTCATGCATTACGGCTCAAATTAACAAAAAAGTTCTGCTTAAATGAAGGCATGAAGATGAGCCAATCTGGACAGAAGAATCTAAAGACAAACAAATCCATTGGCATTGAAAAATAATCTTGAAAAGCCTAAAAACAAAGTTGTCATAGAACTTTTCTAACAATAATAAAACAGTTACAAGTTCCAATATCCATACATCATAATATCATATATATATACACACACACAAGAGGAATTAAGTATTGCTCCACAAAAAGTACACATAATAGCTTTCCAAGATTTCGAGCAGAGAATTCCACATTCTATTACAAATACACACATAATTAACAAACAGTATTGGAAGTCACATTTAAGTACTAAAAATCAAAGTTGAGCAAAGATAACATTGAAGCAAGCTGGCTTGTAAAGCATGTGTCATCTAGTGTGTAGACACACAAATACAAAACCACAGATATATGTGTATGTAAAATATGACAATCTGCAGCCATACACTTATTTTTATATAACACAAACACAGAAAAAAATTAACATTTCAAAGTCACATTAATTACCAAAGAACATAAATATTATAGTGAAGCAAGCTTCATGTTTGTGTATATATATTACACAAGAAGGTGTTATACATATAGTGTGTGTATACACAATATAAATATGAATGATTCAATTAAATGCATCAGGTTGTTCATAAGCCTCACCACTAGAAAATTATTTTTAGATAATAATTAAATGCACCAGGTTGTTCAGCTTCAAGTTTCAATTGCCCGAACTAAAACAGAGAACTCAAATTAGCTCAAAGATTAATGAATGTGAGTTCAAACAAAATCATATTTCACTACCCAAGTATACACAAGGAGAAACCAACCGTATTGTTGGAATCAGAGATGTGAGAACTTAAAAAGGCCACTGTGTTCCTCATTTTCCCATACTCTAGTTACTTTGAAAGATTCAACCTGTCCTGATATAACTTCAAAAGCTCAGGAGCTTCTTCCTCATATTTTTTCACATACTTCTTTAGGAAGTAACTTTCAGTAGAGTCCAACATCTGAATCAAGCCAAGACCCTTCTTAATCAAACCTTTCGACAACAGAATTTGATAAAAAAAACACCTTGGAATGATCCTCCTCTCCAAGCACAAGCTAACAAGCTTTGCCCTCCTCGCAACAATTGAAGACTCCCAACCCATTCTATTGACAAAAAAATCCATTAACCCAATAATCTTATCCTCTGATGCCTCCATAAACCGTGGATGCTTCCTGAAAGCCACCAGAATATCATCCTCAGAAAAACCCCACTTCTTAAAAACCTCCACCTTCTTTTCCCAAGTTGATTTACTCATTGCCCTCAGTGCATGAATTGCAGCACCAAACATCATTTTTGTAGGGTTAAAACCCATTTTCTTTACTTCCTCCACAATCTCCTTAAACCTATCAGTATTAGTCATGATGAAAGCTCTAGGTTGCATGGTAAAGAGACCCACAATATTCGATTCGGGCACACCTATTTCTCTGAGAGCTTCAATATTGGGTATTACATATATGTGAAGATCATCATACAACAAAATCCGAGCAAAGCGTTTAATAACAAGTTTCGTTTTTTCTTCGGTCTTCAGCAATGCCTTGAAAAAATTGTACGCCGGGATGATTTGGTTTTCCAAACTTCTTCTCAAAACACCTGGTGCTGCAGACACTATTTTGGTAATGTCTTGGGTTGAAAAACCTTTAGAGTGGAAAAATTCGATTTTGGGTAAAAGGGTATTCTCGGGATCAGACAAGAGTAGCCGAGGGAGTTTTCTGATGAGAACTGAGATTTGGGTATCTGTGAATCCATGGTTTCTGAAGAGCGTGAGAACAGAGTCTGGTTTGTCTGGAGTTTCGAAGTTCGTGTATTTGGAGGCCGAGAGAGCCTTTTCTGGAGGAAACCCACATGATTTTATGAGGTAGTCGACAGTGAATGAGTGTAGATTTGGAGTGCTAGATACGGATTTGAGTGCTGATGATGAAGAAGATAATGGGTAGTGTTGAAGAAAATGCAGTTTGTGGGTAGGTGAAGTAGATACAACAACACACCTCAAATAAGGGAAAGATTTGAATATGAAATTAAACATGGATAGTGATGGAAGGGACTCACCTTTTCTGGTCTTGTTTCTTCTGAGGAAATCTTGTCGCAAATTTGGATCTCCTTCCCTAGAAGGCAAAAGCCCTCTTTTCTGATAAACCCTAAAACCTTCTTCTATCCTCGGGCTCTTAATATACTAAACTGCCTCACTCGACGCCGTCTCCAGATAGCAGGAATTTACAAAGGAAAATTACTGATTTGAACACCTGGAAAGTACCTTTGTGTAAAATCTCGATGGTAAAGTGTAACAGTAAAAATTCTTATAAAGGGCAAAATGTAACAAACAATCTCTATAATTTTGTGCAACAAATTATCTCTATTTATTAATTGTTGTAAAAAGGGATGAAATAATACATAAATACTTATAAATAAAAAATGCAGTTATATAATTATTGATGAAAATTATCATGCTTAAAAATAAAATTAAGAAATTTAGCCACGACCTAATTACACCCCCTCCAAAATCACATTCAGTAATGAAACATTTTAAATAAATAAAAAACTATTTAAATTGATGACCCAAAAATATCCAAACATCAAAAGTTACGATCAATTTAAAGTGCATATGGAAAAAGAAAAAAGTTAGCACATAATTTTTCATTTGATTTACTTATAATTGTTATTTAACTCATATTATAGGTATATCATGTCTCTAATTTTTTCTGCTTTGAGGTGCACTGCTTTAGGAAATAGTTCTTAAAATACAGATTTTATTAATTTTATAAATTTGTTATTAATACAATTATTATTATATTTGGTGTGTGTGGTTAAAAATTTTAGCTGAAGCATGAGAATTTTACTCTGCAATGAAAAATGAAAAGATAATGATGTGAGTTATTCTAACCATTGCACAATATTTTTATTTCCTTTATCGTCATCTAAAGCAACTTAAATATAAATATAAAATTCATATTCTACTAAATTAGTAATACAGGGACAACTTGTACAAAATTATATGGAACAAAAATTTATTGCCTTAATGGCAGTTAATCTTTCATTAGCAAAAAAGTTTAAATTGTAACAACTAATAAATAGAGGATGTTTGTCGTCATGAAAAAAAAAAGGAGAGAGTGTATGGTGCAACGCTTTGAAATTAGAGGAGAGGGTTAATGCACTAAGAGCTTGTTTGTGATTATTTTTCTATTATTTAAAAATATTTATATTTTGAAAAATTGTGATTAGATGTATTTGATAATTATTAAAAGTGATTTAGCTCTGTAAAGGTTTTGAATGAATTTAAAATAATTTAGGCCTATAAATAATTTTAAGGCCTTAGTGCATGAAATCCCCTATAGTTTCAAAAAGGGGCAAAGTACCTTTTTTTTTTTTTTTTTTTTTTTTTTTTTTTTTTTTGAGCAATAAACACCCTTTAATTTACAAACTTGTGCAAATCACCCCCTTTGGTTAAAAAATGACCAACTCAGGTTAAAAGATTATGTAAAATACCATTGTGTTTCTATATGATTAATGTTAATGTAAGCACTTACAACCCATCTCTTATGGGAATTTGATCCCTCAATCTTCTACTTTTAAATTGAAAAATAGAATATAGCATTTGGATGCTACACTCGATTTTTTAATTTAATTATTATTATACCATTGAGGTATTGAAAACCAGGAAAAATTAGTTTTTGATAGACCAAATTTGAAAGAAGAAAAAAAATTGCTTTAAAATGACCTTAAATTTTAGAAAAGGTAAACAGTGACTAAACTTTAAAAATAAATACCAATGACAGACCATTTAACTTTGAAGCAATTTTTGAGGTCACTATAAAGCAATGTTTTTCTTTTTTTAGTTTTAGTCACCAAAATATAATTTTTCCTTGAAACTATATGCCATTTGTGCCAATGCTACTCAATAGTTTGGTAAAATTATTAGTGTTCATAGAATTAATCTTGCGTTAAGGACAATAGCAAGGACAATTCCTTGTATTTTATAAATAAATTCAGTTAGTTACCAAGTATAAATAAAATATTATAGAGTAAATACATAAATTAAATTAATTATCAGTAGAAATTGGTATGATCTCTCATTTCTAGAGCAAGAGGTTGAATTTTTGAACCTTACTAGAGCAATATTAAAAGTTTGTAACCCGCATGAGAGGTCTAGTAGGACATTCTGAATTTGATTATCACATTATGTAAAAATACCTCGGTATAAATTATATGTACAATTTGCAATTTGCAACCACAAATTTAAAGAGCCGATTTTTTTTTTTTTGGATAAAAAAATAGAGTAAAAATAAATATAAAATAAAATAAAAGTGTGAATTGTAAAGTGAAACTTAAAAAATAAAAAATATATAGTAATTGATTATAGTGCTCTCCAAAAATATAGGGTATCCATAGTTACATTTTGTAGTCACCACAATGGATTTAATAATTTGTTGATGATTTCTATCTACTTAGGGACACTTCTGTGTGCACAATTAATTCTTGTTGGGTTTGCGCACACAATATTAGCAAATAAAACAGATAAAAATAGAGCAAACAACTATCTTTATTTGAGAACTGATATATACACTATTTCTCTTCTCACAAGCTCAACTCACCTTTTTCTTTATATAATTATTTCTCTCTCTTTTTAACTCTATATCCAAATCCATCTCTATTTAAAGATGAAAAACTTTATTGCTGCGGTTATACTAATAACATGGTATTACCAACTGGTTAAATACTTACATATTCATAAGACCCATTAAAATAAAACTTTTTACTTATGCAAAAACATACAATTGGTTGATGGCACGGATAACGTAGTGTCAAATCTTTCTCTTATTTATAGAGTTTTCAAACCCAATTTCTTATTAGACAAGAATTTCACAACTTAATTACAAGGAGTTAATAGATCAATCACAACTCTACAATAGAAGCATCTCAAATGGAAAAGGAAACTAATTTTAATATCGAGTCACAAACCCAACAATCTCTACATTGGCTTCGTAATTCATCTTCACATGCCACTTCATAACTCCACCTCGACTAAAGATCTCTGCACCTTGAACCTAACACATTTTTTCTTCTTTGTCGTTCTTCGTCATTCCGCCACACATCTATTCCTAGCAAATTCCAAGTTCAAATAATTGAACCTAGAACTACTTTCGCATCTCCAAATTGAACTCTTCTGGCTTCTGGAATAACTCTTGCAATTGTCATGACTTCTTCCTTCTTTTGCTTCTCTTGATTTTCCAATCTAGTAGATCTTGAAACAGGTTTCCTTTCTGTCTTTACAATTGCTCCATCTAGCATAGTATTTCCTTATTTTCGATTGGAAATTGGCTTTGATACCATTTGTCGCAACTCATTCCAACTTGTGTAGAGATTATCTGCCTTGCATTCTCCTCTTGGTTGCTCACCGTTTTGCTCAAAACATTTCAACATGGTTAAGAAGCGTCCGCACATATAAGTTTGTAGCCACAAAGCGGAGAACTAGACTATTTGTCATTTTAATACTTCATCTCATATTTCATCCGCTAATTTGCTAGCATAGTTTCAACCTATATACCTATTGTTCTTTAACCAAAATATAGATAAATAAATAAATAAATAAATATATTCATTATTGTTGTACTAGAAGGGCACGTTCCTTGAGTTTCAGGACCCTCACCCCACACCACATAAACGAGAAATTAACAAGTATATCAACAATGTAACACCTTCATCCAATAATCACTCATCATTTACCTTGTAATAGAACAAACTAAAGGTGAAATAACATTATAGATGTCATGCCATAGGTTCCCCTCAAAAAAAGTTCCCATGTGAAATACCTATATAAAGCGCATGTCAATTATGCAACCAAGTTAGGAATATAATTTTGATGTAGCTTGAGAGAGAAAAACTAGGACTGGACAGTGAACACTGTACTTTTATGAAACAACAATTTTGACACGAACTGACTGATGAAGTAACAAAAGCTTGTAAATCCAAATGGTTGAATTCACGTGCTTTCTATTTCTCAGACATTTTCCAACTATCACATTAATTCTCTATAGTGTTACTAAACCCTACAAGGGACTCGTAAGAGAAATAACATAAAATAGAGAGAGAGGGATGGACAAGGAAACGAGGTACGAAGGGCTCTTCGTGGGAGCAAAGCAAATTTGCTCCGCTTCCATCTATACCGCTTCCCTCCTATTCTCAGCCCCAGTTCTTATATATATTTCAATCACTGAACACACATATCTATATGTGTATTGTATATATGTTTATAAACATACAATAAACCTATATAATTCTGTGTGTGATATATATATATATTTTAATAACAAAATTTCGCATTTTGAATAGGGCATATTTTAGTTGTTTTGGACAGTTCATAATTTGTCCCAATTATCTTCTAGACTCATCTTAAGTCATTCTCTACAATACCCATAGTCATGTTCATGCTACAATTGAGAACATCATGTAATAATTATGAGAATAAATTGCATAGCCTCTATATAACTGTACGTGTAACGACTTGCTGTTTCCTCCACCAATATTGGCTGCTGAAATAGCAGCAATACACACACCCATACAGAATATATCTTAGCATGCAATTATATATATATATATATATATATATATATATATATATATATATATAATCCCTATATATATATTGTGTCATCTACAAGGTACTGCAATGTCTTGCAATGTAAATTTGAGTCAATGATCAGAATAAACAAAGGAGCAATAGGTGAACTTAAAAGCAGAGCATTACGTAAATGGGCACCATGAAGGGAACACATTGGATAATACTCGATGATTCTCCGTGAGGTATCTGATAACAATGCACCAACGAGCAAAAGAAAAGATGGAAGATGGACTGAATCATGAATTGAACCAAAAGTACAACACTACAAAATTACGGGAGAATTCAATGCACCATGTTGTTGAGCTTCAAGTTTCAATTGCCGGAACAAAAGCAGAGAACTCAAATTTGCTCACTGCCCAAGAGTAAACAAGGAATGTGAATTGAGTGCCATGTTGTATTTCAAACAAAAG